TAGGTTTTGTTTCCTAGTCTAGTTACTGAGTTTTCCTATGTTTTCTTTCCTAGAATTTTTGGTCGAGGGATCTACAGAGGAGAGTTGCATTTTTTGTAATAATTTTTATAATTTTATTAATAAAATTATAAAAATATAATTCTTAAAATTTTACTAATTAATTCTATTTTTATTCTTTAAGTAACTTTGTTTTATACATAAAAATACATCATATAAGCATATATTTATTTTATAATTTTTATTTTAAAGAAAAGATACTTAATTTTTGATTTTTTGATAAAAAAATTTAAAATTAGTATTTCTAGTTTAGTTTAGGTCATAAATCAAGTTTATTGAACCTAAACTAAACTTTAAAATTTGCAGATTATTGAACCTAAACCTGAACTGAACTTCAAATTTTGCAGATTATTGAACCTGAATTTGAACTAAACTTAAAATTTATAAACCTGAACTAAATCTGAACTTGAATTAAAAGTTTAATATTGAATCTAAACTGAATTTTTTTTTAGAAAAAGTTCAAATTTAGGTTCAGTATTGAACTGAATTTGAACCTAAACTTGATCAAAGTTCAGTTCAGTTCAGATTTATAGAAATACTACTGATAGGTAATATATTTTAAAATGTATAATAGTCTGAGAATTAGTATAAAAAGAATAAGTATTATATTACTCAGATAGTATACTGATTAGATATATACAGGAGGTTAGTTGGAATTACATCATAACAGAAGCAGATAATCAGAAGGTTTAAATAGATAATTTCCTAGTAGGTTATAGGTACAACATCCAGTGTAAAACTCTAGGGTGAACTATTTAAATAGACAACCAAAAGTTATATATATAACTAGCTGTACTTTTATCTTTGTATAAAATAATATAATAACTAATTTTAATAATATTAATAAATTTTATTACGAAGTATGATCTTTAATATAAAAAAAAAATAAAATAAAATAAATAACTGACTATATATATAACTTTTCTATATTATTTATTTAAGAAGTCTGCTTGAAGATTTTTTACTAGTTATTATATCTAGCACTTTTGCTTAAATATTTTATCTAAACTTTCTGATCTGCAACCTTTGTATTAACTTTATCAGATTACTTAGGACTTGAATTCTTATCTTAAACTTAAAACTATAATTTATAGAACTATTTTTATTCTTAAAATAAATTTTTCAGAAACTTCTATATTTTAATCTGGTTTTTATTATGATTAAAACTAATACTTACAATCAGAATAATTTATTAAACTGTTTTTATTTTTGTAAAGTTTATTCAAATTTTAGTATTTATCTTTTTGACATTATCTTTATTTTTTTTTTCTAACTACTACTTAGAACTAATAGAACTTCTCAGACTATCAATCCAGATAATTTAATATGATATACTTATATATATTTTTTTCTTTAATAATTCTGATAATTTGATTAATGCATGTATTTTATAATATTTATTGTTTAGTTTATTTAATAATTTCTTTAGAAGTGTTTTTATAAACTTTTATTAGTTCAATAATATTATTAAAAGTTTGTATTATCTTTTTATTTGGAATTTTTAAGTAAGCTTTTATTTTCTTAGTTTCTTAGTTTTTTATATTTAATGGTCTTATTATGAATTTGTACTAAAACTATATAAAACACTAGTTTTTTATATTTCTTTATATATATGTAACATTACATTTTGCATAAATACCTCAAACTTCTAATGTCAGGTAAGACCTAACTTGGTATACCTAAAATTACAGATACCTAAATGCAACTAATTAACAAAAAATAATTATTATAATACAAATATAATTTTCAAAATTTATCACTTTTAAGAATTGAACCTTAAAACCTGTCACTTGAAGGTTAACAACTTATCCACTTCACTAGGTCATCATACTCTTGTAATGGTTTAATAATATGTTCAGACTGCAAGTAGTTAACATAGTAACTGCATACAAGCATGCAATAAACACAAACTTAGACATCATATAAATAGTCTAGTAAAATCAGTAAAATAAAAATTAAATTAACTAATATAGTATTAATAATAATTGATCTTGTAAAATGTACATAACTATAAATTGTATTATAAAAAATTTAGAATTTAATAAACCAATTAACAATGTCACCAAAGTTAAAAAAAAAAAGATTTAATATTTTATTCCACTTTAAAATATATTAAAATTATTCATATTTAATGTAACTAAACCATTTACATTACATACAATTACTTTTAATTATATATTTTCTAATATGTAAAACAAAAACTATTTTAAAATACATAAATAAGATTGTATCTGTTAACAAATATATGCATTTTTCAAAATTAAATGCTTAAAAATTTATAACTAAAAATTTTAGGCTAAATTATTAAACCGTAAAAAATGCAGATATATACACTATATGAATTAATTAATTATCTATAATATAGCAACAAGTTTATAAAAAATTCATGTATGCCCATATGCAGAATCTTCTAGGTCTCGACATTTAATCGAAAATTCTTTTACTAAATCTTTAAAACGTTGCAAAGATCTTGTACTAATAATAGCAATAATCTGTTAAAAAAAAAAAAAAAAACAATGTATCGAACAAGGAACACTACCTTAAAACAGCCTTAGCAAAGTTTTGTTTTGTATATTGATCCACGTGAGGAGATGGAAAATTTTCCTTCATATTTCGTAGAAAATTATAGAGTTGTTGATAATCATTTACCATAAACTGCGCAATAATATTGAATATTTATGGTTGCTTTCAACAAGGTATGAACCGATGCAGATCACAATGTCGCGGGAAATTCATGAAATTCCCGGAATTCTGAATTTTAAAAGCCCGCTCCAATCGGATCTTTAATTTTACTAATCAGAATTTCCTGATTCTTCGATTCCCCATATAGGTATGGAAATCGTTATTTATACCTTTTTGAAAACAGTTATAAATATTTAACTAACCTGTGATAGCAAAATATTTAACCATTCTCTACTGGCCTCAATATAACGTCCCGTTATTTTGTATAATATGGTTGCAAGAGAGGGAACCAAAGACCGTGGTAATCTACCACCAATTCCCTTAACCAATTTTAATCATGGTTTAATTTTTTTTAATTGTCAAATAAACAAAATAAATAAAATTAATATATACCAAGAGTAATTCTTTCATTATCTCTAATCCATACGTCATCATAATATTTTCTACTCCTTTCGCGAATTGTTCCTCTTTGAAATGTTGTCCAATAAATTCTCCCTATAAACGAATTAGAGTTAATTGTTGCAGAGCAACTGATTAACAACAATAATGAATTAATAGGCATACCATAAAGGTCACAGCAGACTTCAGCGCAAGCCTTTCCTGTAAGCCTAAGCCTGCAACGGAAAATGTCAAAATGCTTTTGAACATATCAGAGGGCAATGTATACAATAATAACGGACATTTTTGAAGATACTAAAAAGAAAATGTAGTTATTATATTTGTAGCATAATACTTTAGGCAAGCAAAGAAATATATATACTTTAGTTAGAACAGAAAAATAGGAGCTAACTATATCAGGATATTGTTCCATATCTAAACACGAAAATTATAATTTCTAATCAAATCAAATTTGACGTGTCGCAATGAAAAATAAAATGCCCAATCGGATTACCGGCTTGACTCCTAACATGCTGTATAGTAGTGGACGTAAGAGCAACTAACATATCCCTCAAAGCATTGCCACACTTATCATTTGAACCATATATAGTCACTACTTTAGCTGCTGTGTCTAGCCAATAAGAATGATGATCTCGTTGAAAAGATATTTGAATTAAAGGTACGATCATCTCAAAAGGGATGGAAAGTATATTCGAATTGGTACGGATTCCAATACTGAGAAATTTACAAAGATACTAACATAGAAGCAAATTCGTTAAATCATGATAGAAGCAATCAATAAGCTTAAAAAACTGAACTTACTTCTATAACTTCACTATCATGATACCATATTTCTGCAATATTACTAATAATTTCTAGTAAAGTATTTACAAGTCCTACACTTGAACTAGTAACAAAAAAGTTTTTTTCATGCCCAATATCATCTAAAATGACAACATTATCATCAGGTGGTTGAATCCCTCGACAACAACATGTAAGATATTCTAGTTGTGCTATTACAGCTTCTCGATATTGCGGAGGGTTCTATTTGTAATCAATAGAATTCTGATTACAATCAGAACATCATAACAAACGAAAACAAAGTCGAAAAAAACCTGTTTTCCACAAAGCACTGCTTCTCTCATTGCCTGTATGATATCATTCGTAATGACCTATGAAGCACTAAACTTAGAATATTTTTACTGAAGAACTTTTGTAATTGAATAAAGACCAAACTTACCAGTAACGGTTGCAACATTTTATCAGGCGATAAAGCTTGAATCACATCGGCTATAGATTCAATAACTTTCTGTTTTTCTCTAGGCTAAATTACATAAGTTTAAGATTCTCATTTAAAAAAAAATTAATTAATATGCACATATACATACTTGAATATGCGGACCAACGACCATATACATGTTAACAAGACTATCTATGTCACCAACCAATGAATCACGGCATGCGTCGCACACTTCATTGAATGACGTGGCAGCTGAAAGTGCCAACTCTGCGTCGCTTAGTGCAGGTATAAGATAATTGAGAGCCGATAATATGTATTGGGGATGAGATTTAAACCAATCAGCATAAGAACCTTCAATCAAGAACCTACGATGAGTTTAAAACTGAGATTACAAAATATAACAAAGCATTCTATCTAAATTACCGATAAGAGAGAGAGTTGTGTTCCTTAGTCGAATATGTCCCTGCAAAGGTAACATTCCATATACTTCTGCGCCGAATAAACGAGGCAAGTAAACATTTTCGTTATGATCTACAACTTCAGCTATACATTTGATGCAAAATAATGTTGACTCAAGATCCTAAAATAAAAATTTCGTCAATAATTAATAATAGACGAACAAGCAGTAAGTATGTGATATATACCTGCCACTGACTTGGATTTCTTCCTGGTAAATTCAATTGCGTAATTGCGAGATCTACAAAGAATGCTAGCATTTGATCCTGCAACACGTAATATGAATTCGTAACTGTATCTCCGACGTTTCTTCTATATATTTTAAACTGTTCTCTTACATCTATTCGGATTGCATTAGTTATTGTTCATTATTGTAAATTAAGACCAATTTAATAGTTTATCACATACCTTTGGTCCATTCGGACCACTCTGTATCTGGTGGATATTGGATTTTACTTCTTAAAATCTCAATTAGTCGTCGAAACACTATTAAGGATGTTTCACGTATTTTTCGAGCTTCATCTGGTGTAATCTGTAAAGTTGATGTAATCGCGTCCTCCCCACTGACAGTATTATTATCGACATTATTAACTGGAATGATATGTGGATCAAATAAAGGTTCTTGCAGTAGATACCAAAATTGCAATGGCATCTCACTAATGTATAATTAGTTGTTAAGGCTTTAAAATCGAGGCATATTGATTTAAAATTATTTAAAATGCAAGATAATAAAAAAAAAAGATATCTCTTGATCTTGGCCGAAATAACCCGGATATCCTGCAAACATTAACATCATCTCTATGTAAACAATTATATCTTGTCGCAAAAAGTGTATAGCAATGTAATTATAAAAATTTTCTCCAAAAGTTGTCATTAATCTGCAAAGATTTCTTGGAAATGATTCATCTGTATCTGAAAGGTTAAATAAAGTATTTGTTAATCCATAATGTAATTTCGTAGAATTTAATGGAAAATAAATTAATTAATTAATAAAAAAGTAAATACAGTCAGTCTCCCGTATAAGTACATCATACGAAAATATTTTTTCTAATTATATTTATTTTTTGAACCAACAACTATTAACTATGTAAAAATAAATATTTACATAAGCACATTATATAAAGACTTTTTTTTTTTTATAAAGTTCTAAGGGTGTGATTATAGGGGAGTGTGACTGTATCTAAAATACCGCATTTTAACCCAAATATTTCGAATTGGTGCATTACCATTAACCATTTGGGCTTTAGCCCAGTCACTAGTCATGCAACTAAGCATCTTCTCACACACGGTATTTTGATACATTGTGATGCGAGGTTGCGATATGAATTCCACTAATACTTCAGTTGCAGCGTCATTAGTTGATTCAAGCGAAAAAAGATTTATTACATTATCAATAAGTAGATAAAGAGATCTACATATACATTCCAAATTAGAAAACTTCATGATAAAGGTAAATGATGATCACTTTAAGAAAACAAATATATTACTCAAATGGGACACCGTATAAAATCCAGCTTTGTAGACATCGTAGGCATTTTTGTTTTAATATTAAATCGCGTTCTGGATGGCCGTAGTATTCAGATAGTAAAGATTGCAATGTCGAAAACACTCTTGGGATGGAATTAGTGAGTTCCTGATATACTTTAGCCCTAAACATCGAATATATGATATTAGAATACATAACATAATATACGATGTTAGTATTAATTATGGCTATTACTTTCGCTCTCCAATTAAATCAGCTCGTAAAACTTCCTCAGGAATAACAGTAAGAAATTCTAGGAGCGGTAACTCGAAGAATAAAGGCTGGCCCTGATTTTGGGCAGCAATTACTCCGGAATGTAGCATTTCGAAAAAGTCAGGTATAAAATTTGACCAAATATCTGGCACAGCTTGTATTGCATAAGCGGTGAGCTTTAAACCGTATAATAACTTTATTAGTGATCATTAAATAGTAAATTTAGATACAGGGCATTAATAAATCTAACTTACAGCCAGACAAAGCTTTGTAACAACAACATTAGAACCACCAGAAAGACGGACAATCCATCCAATAAGCTCAGTACGAACCCATTTCTTTCGATCAAGGGACAAAGTATTCCTTTTTCGTATTAAAATAATTAAATTATTATATAACTTTTCATATTACGAAAGAACATTAACATTTTTCACATCTGATGATACTATATCGCACCATGATTCTAATCACTTATAATTCATACCAGTCTCTAGAAATTTTGACCTGAAAGATGTGAGCCCCAATAAATTGGGAATTAATTGACTACAAATAAAGGTAAAATTTCGATGAGAATTTAAAATGGTTTTTCATGTCATTACACGTCAAAATAACGATCGAAACAGAAATAGCGCTGGTTGACCTGAGAGGCTAATAGCTGAGGTGCCAAATCCCAAGCATATTGCTGCTTTTGAAGATTTTGTATGTACTCTTGTGCTGACTTTTGGAAATGTGGATCAACGCTTTCATAAAGTTGAACTATTATCTTGTAAGGATTAAGGTTGTAAGGCTGGGTCTAAAACTAAAAGCATTATAGTGTGGAATGAAAATAAAAAAAAGTTGGTAAATACTTGCTCAACTTGCGAGACAGAAGGCGGTTGAAATGCCATTTTCGCAGAACCACCCTTTATGCTTTAATGGAGAAAGTCTAGCGCTAGTAAAAACCCGCTATTTATTTTTTGAGGACCTTTGATCTAAACCCGAGGTTTACTAGTATCCTAGGCATTTAAATCGCATTCCTGATTGGACAGGATAGATGATCTCTCCAACGTGACTATACAGCTATAGATGCTGGTGAAATTAAAATAGGGTTGGAAAATTAAAATTCAAAATAATAACGGTAAGTAATAAGTATTATGATCACGGTTTTTCTAAATATTTGGAATATTCCATTGTCTTAACGTTAAAATGATTATAATTTTCCAATTTATATGGCACAAAGTTTTTATTACTATTATTTGAATTTATTATGTTTTCTTCAATAACTTTTTGCTGTTGTGTCTTGGATTCAAATGAATAATCAGAGTTATCAGGTCTGTAGAATTTGAATAAAAAAAAGTTTTATTGAATTTGGTTAAAATGGTTAAATAGATATTTTTTTAATCAAATTTTTAAACTTTTTTAAAACGCTTATTATAAATAAAAAAATATATTAAGGGTAGGAGGCATGTAGATCATTTTTATATAGTTATGTATGGTATATTAAAATTTTCATCAATTAATAAAAAAATTTTATAATATTATAAATAAAATTATTTATCTATTATAATAAAATTTTGATATATTGTATTAT